GTACTGTTGGACTAAAAGTAACCAAACTAGAACTACCCGACGCATTAGGTAAAAGTAAGACCGACCGGACGTAAGTAGTTAGTAAGTAGACCCTACGGACAATAAGAAAATAAGTACTATCTCTCTCTCTCTCTCTCTCTCTCTCTCTCTCTCTCTCTTTCTCTCTCTCTTTTCTCCAAAATCTCTAAAAATTCTTGTCAACTTCTCTTCGCAAATAAAAATGGTGTCAGAAAGAAAAATAAATTGAAGGCATCAATCAAAGTAAATCTAAAGAGTGACGACTATCTGAACTTCAAAGGGTCTATAGTGGAGAAACGAAATTGAAAGTCCATAGAGATTTTGAACACTCAGCGGGCAATATCTCATATAGTCCAAGACACTAGTTTGTTCAAAAACTTCAGGAATACTCTCATTTGAGTTGTGACACAAGAGTTAAGATTGCAAGATGAAAAAGCATTCGATGATTCCTCATCTTGAAAGTCCCAAGCAGAGGCTCGGCAAACTTATATTTGAATGAAATTCAATCTAGATTTAGCTTAATGACAAGTCTTTGAATACTAAAAAAAAATCAACAAATGACAAAAAGATAAACTATATCATACTCAAATGGATTGTGGTATATGGTACTCAAAAAGTTACTTCCATTAACTATTTCATCTAACACTATGGAACTTCTATACGACATATTTGTCTTCATGAATGCCCTTAGATAAGCAATCCCTTGAATCTGAATGTGATGGAGAATAAAAGTCTTCTTTTTGTGTATTTTTATTCAATTTCAATTATGTATATTGTAGTTTTAGTTTTAGGGTTTATTTCTAGGTTTTTAGGATTTCTAGGGTTTTTATTTACTATTCACACATTATTGTTCATGTATTATTGTTCGCGCATTACTGTTCATGTATTACTATTCACGCTTTACTATTTTAGAGTATTAAATATTTACTTGAATCTCAAGTTAAACTAGGGTTTCATTAGCTTATAAAAAGTTGAATGTCATAGTTTACAACATATGTTATTGGAATAGATTTTATTTTATGAAATAAGAAAGTTCTTCTTTTATTGACTTGATTTGCAACAATATTCTTTCTCTCTTCTTGCTGATTTTACTTGTTTAAGGTTCAGAAGAATGGTAGATTCAATTTTTCACTTTTGTCCCTGCATCAAGTGGTATCATGATGGTGAGCAAAAGTCTTCTTATTGTGTATTTTTATTCAATTTCAATGATGTATATTGTAGCTTTAGTTTTAGGGTTTTATTTCTAGGGTTTTTAGGATTTCTAGGGTTATTTATCTACTATTCACAAGTTATTGTTCATGTATTACTGTTCACGCTTATTGTTCACGTGTTATTGTTCACATGTTACTGTTCACGTTTTACTATTCACGATAGTTTTTGAATTTTGGTATTGTTTTAGGATATTTTAGAGTACTCAATATTTACTTGAATCTCAAATTAACTTAGGGTTCCATAGGCTTATAAAAGGTTGGATGTCATAGTTTAGAGTAGACGTTATTGAAAAAAATTTTATTTTATGAAAGAAAAAAATTCTTATTCTCTTGGCTTGATTTACAACCATGTTATTTCTATCTTCTTGTTAAGGTTCAGGAGAACAGTTGATTCTCCTTGCATTAAGTGGTATTAGAGCATTGTTCGAGGACGGCTGAAAATTGCGATGGCATGTCGTGGAGGTCTTAACCGTAATGATGCCGATCTGATCGGTCTATGCAAGGAAATCAACAACTTGATGGAAAAGGTTACCAAGCTATTGTTGCCCAAGCGATGCCAGCAAAAGCGTGCATTAAACGAAGAAGAATCTACAGGGATAAATCCAAATTGTGAGGATTTTTATGGAGAATGACACAAAGCAAAGTCGGACTCAGAGTTGGAGCGGAATAATAAAGTTGCCTTCGACCACCCGTTCTATGCACGCACTCCGTGTTAGGAGTCTCATGCTCGGGAGAATAAATCATGAGATTTAGTTGATCTACATGATTTGAAGGAAAATGAGGTTGGTCTTGGTGCAGGTTGTATCGAAAGTCAAAAGGTCGTAGATTGGGATCTGCCACCAATTTTCGATACATACTTAGATGATGAGCAAAATTTTAGAAGAGATCAAATAGCTGATGGTGATCAAGATTTCGTGGGTGAACCGATCTTCGACGTAGAAAAAGGTGGAGATTTGGAACATCTATGAGATTTAGGACATTGGAATTAGAGTAGCGCAGTGGAAGTATGATCGACTCAGAATCAACAAATTGTGGCCTTAATTTCAGAAAGTGATTAAATAGATATTGAGAAAACCTCTAAAGGCCTGAAAATTGAGTTTGGAGTATTTTATATGATTTCCAATGGGAGTTCATGAATAATTAAATTTGATAAAATCCCTGTCATGACCCATTTCCTGAGGAATTTTTTTACCTGGAATAGTATTTAAGCCAACAAAGAAAAAGAAAGTTGAATAACATAGTTTTGATGTTGAGTTCATCTTAACACACTTCAAAACTTGATGACGAGTTTTCTCTAACAAAGGGAGAATGATGGAGAGCAAAAGTCTTCGTATTGTGTATTTTTATTCAATTTTAATAATGTATATTGTAGTTTTAGTTTTAGGGTTTATTTATAGGGTTTTTATTTATTTTTATTGACTAGTCACACGTTATTGTTCATGTATTACAGTTCATGCATTACTATTCATGTGTTACTGTTCATGTGTTACTATTCACACGTTACTATTGATAGTAGTAATTTTAGAATTTTGGTATTGTTTTTGGAGTATTCTAGAGTATTAAGTATTTACTTGAATCTCAAGTTAAATTAGGGTTTTATAGGCATATAAAAGGTTGGAAGTCATAGTTTAGAGCAAATGTTATTGAAATAAAATTTATTTTATGAAAGAATAAAGTTCTTTTTCTCTTGGCTTGATTTACAACCATGTCATTTCTCTCTTCTTGCTGATTTTATTTGTTTAAGGTTCAAGCGATCGGTAACTTCAATTTCTCACATTTTCTCCCTGTATCAGAATGTCATCACCTGGAGGCCTTCTTACACCTACATTCTCTAGTTGTATAGACAATATGCTAGATATGGACTACAAGTGTCTTGTAAAAGAGCGAACGTATTTGTTGAAAGGTGTGGAATTTTAAAGGTCCATTTGGGTACCTGGAATAGACTATTTAGGAGAAGGTTATCTAGGTATTAGGCCCTTATCCCGTATTTGGGTAAGTGCATGGATAGTACAATGTCGCAAACAAGCCAATCCGCATTTTCTACGCAAAAACATAAATAACAATAGTCCACCCAAAGTGGTGGAATAAGCCACTCCAAGATATTTTGAATAGCAGACAAACCCTATCCCAGAGATGGACTAATTCTAGGAAAAGCCAACTCTAGTATAAGCTTATCTCTAGGACATGTCTAATCCATATACCCAAACGGACCCTAAGAGAATTTGCTGAGGAGATCTAATGTTATAAAATATTTGTAATGATAACAACAACCATGCTTTTTATGATACTGAAATTCTTGAAAGAGAAGGCATATTGGGACTAAAAATATCAAGCTTTTGCATCATGAGCAGATCCGGTGATGAACCACAACTATAAATTGCATCACTTCATTGCAAATGTAATATTATGTTATAAGTGGCCATTTTTTGCATTTGTTTCATCATTATCTTTTATTCTTAAGAAGTAGACTTCAACCCAAGGAAAATTGTTTCATGCGGGCTGGTCTGCAGGTGGTTCATCTAAAAACAAGTGTAAGTATTCTTAATATAATTATTATTCTTAGTTTTTTAATTTTTTATTATATTTATAATCTCCATATTAAGGGTTATGCGGGTTGGCCGCATAGAAACCGTGTCCTTAACACAATGCACTTGCTTTCTTTCAACGGAACTCCGCTTATAGTACGCTCTCACCTCTGCTTTGGCTCCACTCTCTCTCAACAATTTTGGATGGAGCGCCTATAGTATGTTCCTGTGGGAGTATAGTGTATATTAATTTTTTTCAGGTAAAACTATTTTATTTGAATGTTTTATCCAAGTGGAGTAACCATATAATTATTTTCAAACAAAAAAAAAATACAGTTTTAGCTCTTCCGCATCTAGATTTTGCCCATCAATATTTTCATATTCTTTATTTATTCTCGATATTGTTATTCATTTTCAGGCACATAGCATATTAAATTTAAAAATTATCATGAGGTTGATTGCTACATTTAAGAGGCTTGTGGCCAAAATTTAGGGCCTTAAAGATATTTATACCTCTAGGTTTATCCGAAGGAGTAAATGAGCAGTATACGCTCGCGGGGATATCTTTTGGCATCATACGCCCTCGCAACGTGGCAATTATCTTCCCTGAAGCAACCTCGAATCGCTTCGTAACATAAGCTCGTTCTCTCCATTCAAAGAAGAAAGCCCGTTCCGTAGAACCTCTGTAATTTAGGGCAAGAACTAGGGCATGGCGGAACCCAAAAGCGCCTCTGGTTCTGCCGATTCATACATTGGAAGCTTCATAAGCCTCACCTCCAAATCCGAGATACGCTACGAAGGAGTCCTTTTTAGCATCAATACTGAAGAATCAAGCATTGGCCTCCAAAATGGTACTTTGATCTCTCAAAACTCTATAAAATGCTGATTTTTGTGGAAGGATGCGCTCATTGACCTTGCTTTTTCGGCATTTTTCACTAGGGTTCTTTTGAGGTATTATAATGTGAAGGTTTTGAATTTTTGTTTCGTTTCTTTCCTTTGAATCTTGTGGCTGTGTTCTTATGGATAGACACTCTTGTGTTTTGTGTTTTGTGTTCTGTGGAGTTGATTTGTTGTTGCTCCTTTCCCCGTCTGGTAAGTATAATATGTTGATACTCATGGTTTAATATGCTCCGAAATCTTATCTATCTATACTTTACTCTTATTTGCTTGATCTATGCTGATTACTAGCCCGTGTATTTTTCTTTGATTCTTTGAATTTTGGTATAAAGTGTTGATTTCCATGGCTTAATCTGCTCTTTAATCTTTCCGGAATTCCGTAATTTCTGGTGTGTTCTTTTTTGAGATATTTATATAAATGAAAAAGTTTATATAGAATTGCAACCTTAAAATGTAGAATTACAGATGCACCTCAAAAATCCATCGGAAAAGGTTGTTATAATGTTGAAAAACTTTCTAATTGATCATCTCAACATTGAGATGTATGAATATGAGAATAAAAAAGATTTTGACTCCCAAAAATAATGCATCTTGCAACACATTATCTAGACCGTCCATTTTCAAGATTTTCATAGGTTTCTAGCTCTACTTGATTTTAACCATTTTTGGAGTTCAAAATTTTATAATTGGATATGAAAATAAATTTTAGATAATCTTAAGAATTTTTACACCAAAATTCCATGTCATGATAAAATTTAAAGGTGCACCTTAATTGGATCGTTTAAGGTTGCAACCTTATAGAAACCATACCCTTATATAAAAGATTGCATCTATCATTTTCTTTGTCTTGTTTCTTGATAGATGACAAATAGGAATTGATTAACATTCAATTTGCAAGGGTGTGCATCCTAAGGGGAGTACACTTTGTAAACTACAGAGGTGCACCTTAATTCCAACATCAAAACAACCTTTTTCGAAGGATTTTAGAGGTGCACCTTAATTCTACATTTTAAGATGTGAACCTTATATAAACTGTTCCGTTTCTAAAATCTTTTTCTCTTGCTGAAATATCCCCTTTCTAAAATCCATCCTCTATTGACATCAAGGTTTCAAAAAAATATGCTAGGTGGCCAGCGTGGCGCTCAGTGCCCAATGTCTAGGCCGGCGCCCAAAACCTCAGGCTCATTGTAGTACAAAATTCCCTCAGCGCCCAGCGCCCAGCGCCTAGGCCGGCGCCCAAAACCTCAGGCGCATTGTAGTACAAAATTCTTTAGATAAATACATATATGTGCTGTCTAAAGTCGAAATGCACATACATGTACATATTTGTGTGAATTTTGTAATTTATTGCATTTGAAAATATTGTAGCATGCTTTTTTATATACCAACATATGACATATCACATGTTAAAAATAAATTTGTTCAAAGTTTCAAAATTCTAATCATATAAATTTTTTAAAGAAGTTAATAGTCTAAATAGGCTTATGTATTGGTAATAGTCTCCCACTCTCCATATTCCATAATAACATAAACTCCAACGCTCCAAGTTTTCAATAGACTTAAAGAAGTATAAAACCAAACAACAAAATAGTAAAAAATGCGAAAAGTCTAACATTCAAATGTCTAAAGTCTAAACCAAGATGGCGCAATAAAGATACTACAAAAGAAGGGAGATGACATTTGCGTTTCTCCAATCATCATGAATAAGAATCAAAATTAACATCGTTGTCGCTTGCATCTGCATTGGAATCTAGGCTTTCATCATCAGAATCGTCACCCTCTTCAACATATTGCTCTTCTTCATCAGTTTCTTCGGAATTTGCCTCCTCCTCCTCCTCTATCACCCTCTCCCTTTGTGAGTGTGAAGTGCCAATAGCAGTCATTGCTCAAGTGGTTCTACTAGGATAAAAAAGTTGGACCCGAAGCCTCCTTGACTATTTCCTAGGTCAACTCTCCTCCTCAGTATTAGGGTCCTCAACTAGCCAATCAGAAGCATTCTCCCTATCTTTAGAAGCTTTGGGATCCTTCTTTTGCTGGTTAGATTTCTCCTTGAGCCTTCGATTCTCTCTAACAAACACCAAGTCAATGAACTTCCTTTGTTCAAGCCTATTTCTTCTTTTTGTATGCACCTATAAGAAAAAATACATGATTACTGGACTACTAGTGTACTACTATTACTAATTGACCCATCTATTAGTAATGTATATATCATATGTTAATATGTTTGTATCTATTATTTTCTATGAATCTATAGTGGAAAAATGAACTTGTAAACAAGAAAAGAATGTAAAATACCATCTCGAACGAACTCTAATTGCGCTTACAACCAGACGAGCTAGTTGTCAAACAAACTCAAGATCCGAATAGCCATTTTCCAGATGTGTGGAGTGCTACTCCCATGTTTTCTCCACCATTGGTTAATTTAGGTATTCAACATTATTGTACAAAATTTTAGGAACTTAAAAGAAAATTTTCAAACAAAAATACAAAACATATTATTATTACTTGGTTTCGATTCGCTTCTCTGCCTTATTGCCATATCTTTCTCAAATGACATTAAACTTGTACAAAATGAGCTCTTCAGTTGATATCTTATCTTGGATATTTGGATCGGGAACTAATCTGTCAAGGCATTAATTAAAACCATCTATAATTGTATCTTTTGCCTCAATATGAGCAACAATATAAAAGAACTTGGGGTTCAAGTTGTAACCCATTGCATGTAATGGTCGATGGAGCTGCCTATCACACTTGGCATCTATAATCGACCAAATTAGACCGTACTTGGGCTCATCATTGCCCAAATTCTTTGCAATCTCCTTCTTAGCTCCTTCAAGTGCATCATATATAAATGCCATAGAGGGCTTATCAGCATCAACCAAGCTCAAGAGCTTCCCCAAGTGTAGAAATACTAGTATCACTTGCTTTATCCCTTGCCAAAAATAGTTTGAAGGAATAATATCCTGTGCTTTCTTTTCCTTCGCATCTCTAGACCACCTACACCTGCTCCAATCCTCTGAAGCAAACCGAGTCCTCAATGAGATCCTCCTTTTATACATGCTTTGTAGACTAAGGTAGGCAGTGGCAAATCTAGTGACCTCGGCCTCACTACGTCCCTCGTCTTAGTAAACTTGCACATCATGTTGAGGGTAATAGTGAGACTGTATATTAAGATTGTAACCTCCTTAGCTTTAGAAAGAACTCCTTTAATTGTAGGCATATCACCAATGGCCTCATGCATAAGATCTATGCAATGTGCAGTGCAAAGAGTCCAAAATATGCGAGGTCTTTTTTGGCGGAGCACATGACCTGCAACTATATTAGGAGCATCATTATCTCCTATTACTTGAATTACATACTCCTCCCCAACCTCCTCAATTTCAGTATCAATAAAAGAAAATATATAACGAGCATCATGAACATCATCAGAAGCATCAATGGATCGCAAAAAAACTGTACCCAAGGGACAATTTACCAAACAAATCTATGATACTCCTCTTATCACTCCATAGATCGGTCATTACAGAAACCTCAAATTGAGCCCACCCATCCTTATTGGTCTTGAGATATTCCTTAGTATGCTCAACTTCTTTATTCAATATTGGCTCGCCAAGTTCGTAAAGAGTTAGGCCTTTCAACCTTGGTCCAATTGTCCAATTGCTTCCAACATTGTATGGAAGCTATTTAAGTAAGCGGTACTAAAATAAATGCTCGCATGGTAAAACCACTGAGCAATATATTGAACCACCCGGTCTTTGTCTTCCTTCTTAAATCTATTTTCACTTGTCATTTGCCCTTCCCCTTACCCTTCCCTCTCTCAATTACTGTCTAGCGTTAGATGTAAATAAACTATCAATAGTCCCGCCATTTCATACGAGGTCTCTTAGACCCAAAAGCCCTCTTACTCTTGGAGCTCTCAGTTACAACCATGCCTACCTTGTCTTCCCCGTCTTCATCCTCGTCAATGTCAACATCATCATAAAAAACATGGACCCCTGCCCTCAATTCTACTATATCATTTTTATTTTGTTATTTTATTTTTCAACTTCAATGTACTTAGAATTTTCGTTCTTTACAAGCTCGGAGACCTTCTTACACAGGGCAACATCACCTTTATTACTGGCAAGATGTTTCTTGAATCTATTTATGCCAGCAGTAGAAATATGTCCACAAAAATTGTGCATAATTTTATTTTTGTCATTCTTATCCAGGTTAACTAGTGTTCCAAAAAACGCCGGGCGGCGCCTAGGCGGTCGGGGGGGGGGGGGCGGCCCTCCCAACTAAGCCCAAAAAAAAGCCATACTAGAAGCTGTGGCTAGATCACCTCATTTTCAGGGAGAGCTAATGCTTGTTAGTTTTTGGTTTGACACTGCTTCATGGCCCAAAAAGAGCAAGCCACGTCTGAGCTAAGCATGGAGATGGAAGTCTTCTTTAGTTTCTCAGCTGTGCCTCCTCCCTCTCCTCTCTTTCTTTTGGGGTCCTTAGTCATGCGCTGCCCTGTGGTTGATGATATTTTGGCTAGAGACGAAATGGCTTCTTTATTTCTTTCTTCAGTTACACAAACAAGCCTGAAATACTGCTCAAATCCTTCCTCAAAGCTTTGGAGATGCGTGGGATTTAGGATGCATGAGATCTGGAGAGTACCAAACGTTTACCTGGAATGGAACCCTAATTTAGAATTCTCAAAGTCTATATAGCCTTTATACTTGATTCAGGCTTCCGGAAGTATTATTATTAGAAAGAGGGCCACCCACTCAAAATATAAGATTTCACTGGAAATAGAAGCCTTATTTCTTGTTTACTGAAACCGTTATTTATCATAATTAAGGGCAGATTTGTTAGAGACTTGGGACTCATTCGAGTCCATGCACTGGACTCACCAAACTATCAGAAGACTCAACTTACTAGACTGGCCAAGTTCTTTGACAAAAATGATTTTTTCATTGCACCATGTTTTACACAAACAAAAAGTAGGACCTGCCCAAGCTGATTGGATTTGGGTGAGTCCCCAGTCATATAATTTGATTTTTGAAACATGGGTTCTGAGTATCATCTATTGGCATTGTCTGTATGTATTGCTGTGTGCACACTGGTGTGAGCTCTTTAAAGAATGCACTTTCATATACTTTAAAAATTACATAACATTTATTTAACTATTTTTTTTGAGAAAGAACATTTATTTAACTATTTATGTAATCAATAACGTGATTTGGTTAGATTTGAGTTATGATGTCGTTTACGTTTCTGAGATTTGGGCATGGCTTGGTGCCTTGGTTATAATGATCTGTTCTTGCAGTGAGGTCGTTTGGAACTGAAGGACGGAAGAAAGATGGCCCACAAATTCCTCCTGGTGACAAAATTTATGAGTTTATTTTATTTCGTGGAAGTGACATCAAGGTACCCGAAGAATCCCTGTACTTTTTTGTATGGTTGGTTGATTGTTTGGCATGATTCTCATTGACTTAATTGATGTACATGTATTAAAGGCTTTAGATATCATTTATATGTTGTTTGATTGTTAAGGTAACACTTTAACAATACCTTGTTATTTATTGGCATATAACCTGACCCTGGAATATTAGTCTCTTTGTTGTATTCTATGGTAGGGCATGGTTTTTCTAGAAGTGATGGTAAGTGTATAATTTTAATTTTACTTTGGCATTGGTGCCTTGTCTGTTATTTGCAGATGATATTCTTGAGGTAAATCTCTGCATGAGCAATCAGTTATTTACTTCCGTTCCCTATTAAGAGAAGATGTGGACTTGACCTGTGAGGAGTGTCCCCATCATGTTTTTCTTTTTCTCTCTATTTATTTTATAATGGGCCCACCACATCTCTCAGCTGTGTTTTTGAGACCAGGAATTGTTCCATTGTTGAACTTTGATCTATCAGGCCAATCTTAGGAGTGTTTGATCTTTGACCTATCAAACCGTGATCCTATCGTTTGTCTTGTATATTCAAAGCTTGTTTGGTAATAATCACGTTCTTGATGCTTTAAGTTTAGAAACATTCATTGGACCAAGCCTTTTTCTGCTGTGGGTAGGCTTCTTAAATATTTAGGTGTTCCCTTCCAGAGTTCTGAAATTTTGATTTGTGAAGGCTTTTGTGTGACTGACATTTCTCCCTCACACACCCTTATACCAGCCAGGTTCATCTTTGAACTCACGGTCAGTTCTTTGTTTTACACTTCCGTGATCCTGGAAAGAAGAAATTTACGTGGTACAACGCACCTTTGGAAGCATTGGGTTGTTTTATATCTTCTGATAAACCATATGCATATTTCTCTGTGTTGGATTTGTCAATCATGCTTAAAGTTGATGGATAACGTACATGCAGGCTGCCATTGGGCATTATGACTGCTAAAGGTTTCTGCTATGCAATCCATAAACTCCAACTGATCATCAGATGGAAACAATTGGTCTCTTGTTTTGTTATGGCATGTTGTGTTGAGCCCTTTTATTTATTTATTTTTGCGAACTTTAGCGACACATTGTTTTACTGTAGTTTGTAGTGTCTCTTTTTCCAGGAATAGGTGCTTCAGATTATTTCTTGTGGCCCACTTTTGGAATTGTAGTGTCTATTTACCCAAACCGTTCGAAAGTATCTTTTGTTGATTGTCTACTGAAGATTCTAGTTTATTCTTTTCACAATTGATGTTCACTGACAGTGTTGACAATTTTTTTGAGGAGTCCGGTTCTTTAATTGGTAAGAATTGGATTCAAAATTCCAACTTAGGGCTGAGAGAAACCATACGTAAAGGACTTTCTATGTTTAGACTATTTCAGTATTTTTGCCTTATGCATTGCTCACAATTGAAAAAAGTTTTTAGTGACAGTTGGAAAATTCTTAGGTTTCTGTGACATAAAGCTATCTTTAACTTTGTCTAATGTGACTTTTCTCTGTTTTCTTTCCTAACTGCCATATATTATTTGGTCTTGTTTTTATACTCTACCTGTAGATCTCCATTTATCTTCATTTATACTCTACCTGTAGATCTCCATTTATCTTCATTTGATTTCAGACTTCAATCTTAATCTTTTAACCTTGCGTTTATTGATTGTGCTCTAAATATTCTAGTGTGCTGCCTCTTTTGACTGATAATAATATACTATGGTCTTCAGTATTTGATGTATTGTTTCAGTGTGGGGTAGATTAGCATTAATTTGTGTTGTTTGTGTTATTTAATGAGGGCCACAGCTAATTGGGGTTTGGGTTCTTGAGTTGTGATTAGGTCATTAACTCCCACAGCTAGACATTGCAAGTTCAATCGGAGTTGAGCTACCTGATTTAAAAACAATCTTGGCGATTGTGCCTCTTTTTGGAGTTTGTCTAAAGTTTTTGTTTTTGCCCCTGTTGGGGGCCGGGGGGGGGGGAGAAGGGAGGAATTTTTGGTACCTGGTTCTTTTAGTTACTGTGGTGCACCTAGCTCTGTGTGTTACGAGGGTATGTAACGCAACATGTGCATGGATTTGAAACCAATGAGACCTTTTGGCTGGCATGCATGTTTCTTTATTAATTGAAGAGTGCTTTGATTTCTTGCAGAGTATCATTGCCATCTATCTTTTGTAATTTTTTGATGTTTTCTTGTCTATAACAACCTCAGTATCTTCTCATTTGTGTTCTTTGGCTATGTTTTTCCAATTATATTGTGTGTCCTAGGTCCTCTGAGTTGGGTTTGCCTCTGCCTCACTACCATTCAAGGTTTTGAATGCACGTGCATGAGAACTGGTTTACTAGATTGGAAGTACAATTGACTTGAGAGCTCCTAGTGCCAAGGCTACGCATGTATTCCCATTCTTGCATGGCCCTTGATAGAGCAGAATGGTGGAATATGATTCGTGTAGCTGACTCCAAATAGTTGGGACAAGGTTCATATGATGATTGATGATGATCTTTTGTGAACCACATAACTTGGTTTATGGAGTATCGTTTTTACGAAATGGATTCCTAGCTATGCATAGTGTACTCTCTCACCTTTGGCAGATGCATTTCCATATTGAAAAAAACCTAATATAATTATCATCATCATCATTTGAGCCTTATCCCAATTATTTGGGGTCGGCTCAACGAATCCTGTTTTGTTGTTTTGCTCTATCAAGGGCCATATACCCTCAGTCATGTCATAGGTCATTATATCTCTTCTCACTACTTCCATTCATGTTTTTTTGGGTCTTCTCCTTACCCTTTTAAAGCCTTCCACTTAAAACAAATCACTCATTCTCACAGGTGTTGTTCTAGGTTGATGCTGCACATGGCCAAACCACCTATGTCTACTTTCCCTAATCGCCTATTGGAGCCACTTTTAAGTTCCCTTTGATATATTCATTTTGAATCCAATCTTTTTTTGCCTTGTCACTCATCTATCTCAACATCTTCATCTCAGCTGCACTCATTTTATGAGTATCTTGTTTCTTGACCGCCCAACATTTTGTCTTATAAAGTATGGCTAGTCAAACATCTGTCCTATGGAACTTCGTCATTAGTTTTATTGGTATGCGATGATCACATAAGACTCCGATAACAGATCTCCACTTCATCTACTCAGCTTTAATATTATGTGTGACATGTTCCTAAATCTCTCAATTCTCATGGGTTTTACCCAAGATATTGAAAGTAATATTTTTTAGGTGCTTTTTGGCGATCGATCTTAACTAATTTCCTCTTTTCTACTCCTATTATTAATAGTTTTACGTTCTACATATTTTATCATAGTCCTGCTATTTTTAAAACGTTTAGATTCGAGTGCATCCCTCCTAAGTTCTAACTTTGCGTTGACACCATGTTTAGTCTCATAAATGAAAGCTATATTATCTGCAAATAACAAACACCATGTTATGTTATCCTGTAATGTTTAGTTAACTTGTCCATAACCAAAACATAGAGATAAGGGCTCAATGCTTACCCCTGATGTAGGCGTACTGTCATTGAAGCTTGTCTCTCCGCTAGTTATCTTCAACTCCAATTAGCGCTCCCTCATACATTTCTCTCATCATGTTAGTATATCCTTTAGAGATTCATTTCCTTTCCAACACCTACCTGGCTTTAAGGATATACACCTTCTTTAGTATATCCTTAAAGAAGTCTATCTGGCTTTTCTATGTTCCACTTCTGTTAAATTGTTAAATGTTCATCTCGCCTTCTTAAGTTCGTGTTTGCTATTGTTAGGTCGTACGCCATAGCAAAATCAAGGATAGCATCATGCGTCACATTTCTTTCCCTAAAAATGTATCCTCCATGTATCCTTTCCTATCCTTAACCATTTTTTCCGACATGACCATTTAAGTCCCTCCTAAAAAAGTCCTCTCTCCATTTGGAATTCCTCAGACTAGTTCATCCATGTCCTTGCAGAGTTGTCTTTTAATTCTCTCTAGTTCTACCTGTGGCACATAAACGCTAATTACATTAATTATCTCTACCTCTAATACAAGATTAATTAATAGGAGCCTGTCATCTACTCTTTTGACCTGTACTATTTTATCCTTTAAATCTTCGTCTACTATTATGCCTACACTATTGCTATTGTTATCCTTTTCTATGTACGAAAGTTTATATCCATCTATCAATTTCCTTAGTTTTTACCCCTTTCCACATAGTTTCCTGTAAGCAAGCTATTTAATTCTCCTTCGTCTTATTGTATCCACAAATTCCACTCATTACATGTTAAAGATCCCATATTTCATGTGGCTAGACAAATCCTATTCTTTATCTGCGCTCGTCCAAAATGGCACAGAGACCCTTGCGTAGTTATTACTGCAACTGGGTGTTGTTGTGCCGCGTATCATTTTCAGGGAACGCCCTAGTTAACCATTACTCATTTCTCACTGCACCTGGGTGTCGGTGCAGCGTATCGCTTACATGGAATGCTGTAACATGAGCATATAACATTGGTTCAGGATTCATGAAATAGATGTGGCAAAAGTTTTACGCTGGCTGCCGGCCTAGCACAACTTTCTTCCTTTCTTTGGGCTTGGAACTGGCCATGGCAGAACTATGTATGTATATGTATAAATTTATATAATGTATTTGTATATGAATAATAGTAAATTATATTCATGCCACAATACGGTGGTTTGCTTGGTTAATAGGCGCTGCTCAATTCAAATAAATGAGACACATGTTTCAAGTCCTGCAGCCCTTTTGTGATTTTTTAAATAAAAAGTCCTTGTATCTGGCCATTTCCAGGTGTGTTGGGTGGCCAAGCTACAGTTTCAAGTTGGGGTATCTGTTTGCTTGGTTCTGGTTGGTGGGTCTTGCTGACGAGACCTGGAACATATCAAGAGATTTACTTGAAGTGTGCTGGGAACTACATTTGTTGAAGGAAGTTGATGTTTGGGAACTATTGTATCTTTCCTACATCTGCAAATTAACCCGATGGGTGTGTGTGTTATGAAGTTGAT